TCCCCCGCTTGGGGGGCTAAGGCGAAGGCGAAGGTGACTCAGGGACCTGGAGAGTCAGCAGCTTGCGTCCTAAAGAAATAAAATGGAAAGCTGACATTCTTTGAGGCTTTTCTTAGCTGGTACTCATGGCGCCTCCATTTCAGATGGAGTCTTAGATCGATGCCCCCCTCCCTCCCGATTGGCACAGAGTGTCTGGGGGCGTGGGAGTGGGAGCAGAGCCTGCTTTGACAGGTTCAAATCACTGGCCATCACCTCCCACCTGGTGACCTTGGGCCGGTCATGCCCCTTCTCTGGGCCTCAGCTCCCCCTGCCCGCCCCCTCCCCCCCCCACACCAGCCTCCAGGGAGAAGAGCCTGTGTGTGGGGTCAGCTGAGGCCTGCAGCCCTGAGCAGATTCCCTGGTAACATCAGCAACCCTGGCCCAAGCCCGGAGGCCTAAGGTCCTGGCGCCCGGGGAGCCAGAGCTTTAACCAGCATCAAAGTCTGGGATTAGTGATGCTGGGAGGAGCTCTTAGCATCTTTAGAGCCTGGACAATAGGCTTAAACTCCCAGCAGCTGCGAAGCCCTGGACACCAGCAGTGAGGCTTGCCAGCACCGCCCCTGGCAAAGGCCCACCTGCGGCTTTGACCGGCCCCTGTGTGTGGGTCAAACGAGGTGGCCTGGATTCCACTCTCCCAAGGCCGGCTCATCCCTTAGCCAGGGCAGAAACTTCCAGAGTAACTAACCCCTGGCCACTGCCCAATTCTCATTGTCAGAGGGTCTGATGAAAAGAGGGGCAGGCAGGCCTGACTCCATCCACTCTGCCCCTTACAGTCTGGGCCTCAGTCTCCCCATCTGGCCAATGGGAAGAATCTTACCCCCATGCCCACCCCAGGGAACCGAGAAGGTCAAGTGGTGCATTTCTTGAACGTGGCCGGGAACAGAGCAGGGACCCACAAGCACCGGCTGTATTTGTGGTTTGGGTTTGAAAGCAACGGGATCAGGAAGGGGAGAGAGCTCGCGAATGGCTACTCCCTCGAGCCCTCCAGCTAGAAGTGCTCCCTCAGAGTTCGCAGGACCCTTCTGGAGAGGGGAGGGGCAGCAGATCAGAAAGATAAGCTTCGTTATAAACTCACTGGGCATTTCCAGGGACAGGGCTGAGGACCCCGGGGGGCCAAGGAACAGCCTAGGCCAGTGCCCACTTCCTCACGTACCCCAGGCGAGCCCGAGCGGCCAGTTGCTAGGACTGCCTTCAAGTAAGGGTCGTGTGATGGTTGGAAGACCTTGAAACTTTGGGGAGAGGCAGATAGATAGATAGATGGATGGATGATAGATAATTTTATATAAACTGCGCCTCAGAAGTTTTCCAACTCTGTAGGGAGACAGGCTCATAGCAGGCAGTTAGAGCAACAGAATGTGAGTGGTGCCTTTGGAGGCATCTCAGAATGCCTCAGCCATCGAATCAGGAGGGCTTCCTGGTGGAGGAGATGCATGAACTGCGCCTGGAAGGATGACTGGCCAGGTGACAAGGCAGAGAAGGAAAGGGAAGGGAAGGGAAGGGAAGGGAAGGGAGGAGGGGAGGGGAGGGGAGGGGAGGGAGGGGAGGGGAGGGGCGGGGAGGGGAGGGAGATGAGCAGCGATATTGACTCCATCTATAAACAGCCTAAGGATGAGAAGGGTGGCTTAGATCAGCCTGTGTGCAGTTGACTTGCAGGACTGACCAAGACTCACACTCCTGACCCAAGTCCCTGGCTGAGGGGGAGCTCGGGGTCCTAGAGGATGGCTTCAGGTCCCTTCTTGCCCCTGCCCTCCCAGCCATGTTCCATACCACCGCCCCAAATTTTTTTATAAGACACCCAGGGAGCCACTCTTCCCATTGCAGCCCCCAAACCATCACAGAGTCCCACCTCCCCTGGTGCCAGGCCCCACTACCAGTTCCCTGGCTGTCAGCGATCCTGGATTTGTGGGGAGGGGAAGGAACTGAGGGCAGGAAGGACCACTTTTTCAAACGCTGTTATTTAATCTTCACCACAGCTCTGCAGGGCCCATGTTTCTATGCCCATTTCACAGATGTAGAGGCTGAGGCCCGGCGTAAAAGAGCACTGTTCTGCGTGTGTTTCGGCGTTAATTCAGGGAACCCTGTCAGAGCCACTGTTACCCCCGTTTTGCAGAGGCCACCTGGGACAGGTGGCCCCAGTTTTGCTTGTTGCAAGCTGGCTGTGGACTGGCTGCCCTTGAGCACCGCTCCCTCTGCAGGCCTTAAAGGGGCAAAGCCCACTGCACTCCCGCTTTCCCTGGGAAAGGCTATTTTTTGTTCCAACTGGCCGTCCAGGGGTCCCTTGAGACTGCTGGCCTCTCTCCAGGACGCAGGCCTGGAACTTGGCCCAGCCCCAGGCAGAGGCCTCAGAAACCAAGCTGGGCAGCGTGAAGACGAGGGGAAACTGAGGCCACAAGAGGAGGCAGGCAGGACCTCTGGCCCAGCCCCACCCTCACCCTGCCATGACATAGATACTCTCATTGTGCCCATTGTACAGACGGAGAAACTAAGGTTCTAAGAGGTCACAGGGCTAATAGACGGTAAGGCTGTGATTCGAACCCGGCCAAGCTGACCCCACAGGCGACTTCAGAACTGCCGCTTCTGCTGAGGCTGAACTGCCCCACCTGCTCTCGGGGAGAGGCCCCCGTCCCTGGCAGACACCCCAGCCTGTAATTGCATAGGCCCGGTGACGGGGAGTCCCCTCCTGTAGAGCCTGGCACCACGTGAGGCCCAGCACTAAGCCTGTGCACACGGAGCCCTCTCGATTCTCCCACAAACCCTATAACAACAGCATTTACTAGTGTCTCCATTCTGTGCATCAGGATTCTGTAGATGAGGAACTTACCCAAGGATCCTCCCAAACGGAGGATCTGGGAGGAAAGCAAGCGCTGGCCAAGCCCTCCAAGGGGTAGGGGAGTTCACCTCTCAAAGGCAGAGCCCTCACGTCCTTTCAAGGTCGGCCCCACCTCGTCCATCTGTATGGGCACCTCGTCCAGGTGTAGGCCCGATGGTCGGCTGGATGAGGAGACAACATTGCCCCCGCCTGCTCAGATCCCACGTGTGTGCCCCGGGTGTGTGCCAGTTACTTGGATCAGTGTTCTTGGGATTCCCAGAAGGAGCACTAGATTTGAGTTTGGAAAACTGGGCTCCAAATCCTATCTTTCCAGCTTTTCTGTGCAAACCCAACCCTTCCCTTCCCTTCCCTTCCCTTCCCTTCCCTTCCCTTCCCTTCCCTTCCCTTCCCTTCCCTTCACCTTAATTGCCTCATCTGTAAAATGGGAGCATCAAGTCTCCTGGAAGGAGTGGAGGTGTTGCAGAACTAATCCCAGTTAATTCAACAACAAAAAAAACAACTCTCTTTCCTCGGGCCATGAAATAATTGACAAATGGAAAAGATCTGAATACCCTCTGAGACACGGGGTAGGGTCTGGCAAGTCTGGAATTGTTTGCAGACCATCACCTGCTGCCTTCACCTCCCAGAGCATCTGGTGAGGGAAAGGCACACAGCTGAGTGCCGTCCCTATGCCTATGATCAGCCCATATCAGGGCCAACAAACGCCTGGGGTGAGGGCCTGGAGGGTCCCCATCAAATGCTTGCTTTCACCCAGAGCCACAAGGCTGCAAACCAAGCACCCCCTCTAATCATTTATTCTCATCTGCACACAGGCCGATCTAAGCTGCCCAGGCTGGGCTACTCAGCTTCAGGTGCAGGCCCTGCCGCTCGGCGCGCTCCGGGCTCCTCTGTGCGGCTGGGCTCAGGCTGCCCCGGGTGTCTTCACTCTGGGGCCCAGCGCAGGGCAGTGCCTCCAGGGGGAGCTCCTCTCCCGGCGATGGCAGAAGAGCAAGCCCCACAGCACAAGCCAAGTCAAGTGGCCGCTTTACCACGTCCACCAGCATCCACTGGCCAGAGCAAGTTCATGGCCAAGCCCAGTCTCAATGGGGAGAGGAGAGGGGCTACTCTGCCTCCAGGGAGAGGGGTGAGCATTTGCCAAGCAAACCAGATTATAGCACTAGTATTTTGGATATTTTTAAAAAGACCTCATGTGATTCTTATGTTCAGCCAGGGCTCAGAACCATAGACCTACGGTCAAGCTGCTTGTCAGCCAGTCAAAACGAAAATCAGGCTTAATTAATTTTACTTTATTTCCTAGAAGCAGTTTGACTCAACCAGTGTTTATTTTTCCTTGAGGCATGTGTGGGTTTGTTTGTTTGTGTGTGTGTTGTTCTTTTTTTAAAAAGAGAGTCCCTGGAATTAACACGTCAATTTTTTTAAAACAACTGATTTTAGTTAGCTCACGAGCTTTTAGGTAACAGGCCCGTGTATGAGCCCTAGCGCGCAGTGCCGAGAAATGGAAAAATGCCGGGAGAAGATGTTGTTGGGTAATTGGAAGGAAGGAATGTGAGCACTGTAGTGAATGCTCCGTGAGGACAGGGATTTTTGTCGGTTGGCATCATTGTTGTATCACCAGTGCTTAGACCAGTGCCTGACACAGAGTCAGTGCTCAATAAGTAATCCCTCATCAATGGTGCATGCATGCATAGCGAGAGGCTTCTGGAATGGAAGACTGAATGGTGGATGAGTGGATGGTTGGTGAGATAGATAGATGTATAGTTGGGTGGATGGGAGGAGGGATGGAAAATGGATGGGTAGGTGGACAGACAGAATGATCAGAACGTGGATAATGGAGGGATGGGTGGGTGTTGGATGACTGGATGGATAGGTAGATGAGTAGATGGATAGGATCATGAAAGGTTGGATGGGCAGATGGGTGCATGGGAGGATGCATAAAAGGACAGATGGGTGGCTGGTTCATAGGTTCGTGGATGCCGGAAGATAGCAGAGACTTCCCAGTGGGTAAACATAGATGCTTTGCAAAATTGTTAGTGACCAGGATGTTTTGGTCTTCTCACAGGGTTTTCTGATTTGCTGTTTCCTCCTCCCCACCAAGTGTCTCCACTGGAGACCGGGGTGAGAGGTGCAAGAGATGGCCACGGAGATCAGTGCTCCGGGCACACAGCGTGCCATTGGGAACGAGGAGTACAGCCTGTACAGCAGCCTGAGCGAGGAGGAGCTGGTCCAGATGGCCATTGAGCAGAGTCTGGCTGACAAGACCCGGGGCCCAACCACTACTGAGGCCTCCCTGTCCACACGTGCCAACCGCCAGCCTGCCCATTTCTACCCATGGACCAGGTAAGCCAGGAGAGGTCACCTGGGCCATTCATAAGGTGCCGATCCCAAGTGCTACTAATCCAAATCCAAAATGGTGTACATTTATTATCTGAACTTCCTGAGCTCTGACAGTGCCAGGTGCTGTGTGAGGTGCTACATGCACTTTGCCTCATTTAACCCTCTTACGAACCTTCTAGGAGGCTCTGTGCTAGATTCCCATTTTACAGATGAAGAAACTGATGCTCAAGGCAGAGTAACTAGTCTCAGACCACACAGCGAGGAGATGGTGCTGCAGAGCCTGGGCTGTGGCTGGGCCTTGCACTGCTGACTGCATGCTTGAATGCAGTGGACGGATACCCGAGTCTGCCCAGAGCTCCCAACCCCATCTGTGCAGTCTCCCTGGGGAAACGTGTCTGAGAAGCAAGTGACATCTTCCCAGCAAGGCGATCCTGCCCCCTTGCTCTGCACCCCCGTCTCAGCATGACCCCATCCTCCCAGCAGCGCGACCAGCTAGAGCAGCACCCCAACAGAGGTATGAGACAGGCCACAGTTGCAATTCCACATACACCATTTTTTTGTGGTTTAAAAAAAATATTTTTTTTATTGATTTCATAGAGGAAGGGAGAGGGAGAGAGAGATAGAAACATCAATGATGAGAGAGCATCATTGATCGGCTGCCTCCTGCACGCCCCACACTGGGTGCCCTGACCGGGAATTGAGCCGTGACCTCCTGGTTCATAGATCGATGCTCAACCGCTGAGCCACGCCAGCTGGACTCCACACGCACCATTTTGAATGTCCCAAGAGCCACATGACAAAGTAGAGAGAACAGGTGAAATTAACTTATGCCTAAAATGTTATCATCAATATAAAAAAAATCACAAAAAAGATGTGTACATACTTGTTTTTTCATATTAAGTCTTTGGAATCTGGTGTCTTTTGCACTCACCGCACATCTTGACTCAGACTCCCCACATGAGCAGCGGGGGCCGTAAGGACTCCGTCTGGGTAGGCGGGGAGCCGGGAACTTGATTAAGCACTGGACCTTAGAGCTTTTAGAAAAGAAATACATACATTTAAAAGATGCTCTGCTCGCCAGGAGTCCAAGTCGCGTGTGTGTTGGGAAGTGGGTGACAGCGGTGGGAAGGGCTGCTGCAACTGTGTTATCTTGGGCCTGGGCCTCAGATCTCATTGTCTCCAGCAGCTGGCTGACTCCCTATGTGGCCCCAGGCTACTCACCTCACCTTTCTGAAACACAGTCTCCTTCTCCAGTTATAATAGCAACAACAATAAACAGACCTTTCCCGTGTCCAGCCCCAGCTGATAGGGAGGAAGGTAGGTGATGGTGCGACGTTGGCCCTTGCCCAGGCTGGACCATCTCTGCGAGGCAGGCTGGCCAAAGGCCCGGGAGGTCTGTCACCAGGGAGTCCCTTCTAAAAGGGAAGGCAGGCAGCCTCCTTGGGCAGCTAGGAGGCTCCAGGTTCTGGAGCTGCCCCTGAGGACGTGCCATCTGGGGACTCAACCTGAGAAACAGAAGCCCAGAGCCAAGGACTCGTGGTGACCTGTGCTCGGGGCCGCTCTGGTTCCTGTCCTGGCCGGTTCGTTCAGCGTCAGTCAGACCGCAGCGTCCTCGTTCTCAGGAGGGATCAGAGAGCAGAGCAGCCTCCCTCCCACGGAGCCTTCAGCACAAGCCAGCACCCCGGGCCTCGCAGCCTTCTCCCAGCGCGGGAGCCCCACCCGGGAGTCCGCGCCCAGACTCTGGCCTCTTCCTTCCTCTAGTGGAGAAAGAAGCAGAGACACACCATGAGGCCAGTGTAAACACTTACTCAGCCTCCTGAGAAAAAAGTGCTCAGAGAGAAGAAAAATGACTTATTCAAGGTCATGTGACCCTCACTGACTATCCAGGTACAGGTAATATAGGGGAGAAGAATTCAGCCCTGCATCTTGTCACTCTCCCCCCACAAAAAAAAAAATTTAATTGAAATTATTGGGGTGACATTAGTTAATAAACTTATGTACGTTTCAGGTGTATAATTCTGTAATACATCATCTGTATATTGTATCGTGTGTTCACCACCCCGAGTCAAGTGTGTTTCCATCACCATTTATGCCCCTTTGCCCTCTCTACCTCCCTCCACCCCCTTGCCCTCTGGTGATCACCGTACTGTGGTCTGTGTCTGCGTTTTTTCTTTGCTAATCATCTTCCTTGGCCCTCCGAGGGCTCCCTGAAAGGCAGGTCTGACTTCCCACGCCATGGAGGAGAAGTAGGGTTCGTGCACTGCTGGCCAGAGAGGAACAGAACAGGGGGCGCCCCCAAGGTTACTGGGGTGGACCAGCCAGAATGGGGCCAGGAAGCTGGGTCTTCAGTCTTTGAACTTCTGCATTTTATTTAAGGTTGCATTTCTGAGAAGACTAAGAAGGAAAGCATGAAGCAGGAACTTGCTTGGGCCAATGTGTATGCACTGTGAACCACTCGAATCAGTCCATCCACACTCACGGTGCACTTCTGAGGTGCCAGCTTCCTGGCACCTGGATGTGGATCAGGCCTGGTCCCCACCCTGTCCAAGCCTGAAGTCTAATGCGTATAAAAGGCACAGAAGTACCTAATGACCCAACAGGAAAGGTGTAGCAAAGGGGCTTGTCTTGGTTTCCGAGGGACACAGAAAGGGTCTTTACACTTAGTCAAGGAGGTGGGCTTTGCAGGATGAATAGGAGTTCACCAAGCAGGGTAGACGAAGCAAACTTCTTTGAGCCTCAGTTTCCTCATCTGCAAAAGGGAGCCAATTGCATCTCCTTCACAAAGTGGACTCAAGGATGAAATGAGATGCTTTGGGCCATGTACCTAGCACAAGGCTTGGCACATAGCAAGCGCTCGACCAATCTCGGCTATGCGTGTGTGGGAAGGCAGGCGTGGCAGCTGGAATTCCTGTTCTCTATGATTCCTCTCTGGCCAGCACAGGAAGGATGGCGTGGTCAATGGGTGAGGGAGAAACAGAATTCTCATGGGAGGTAGGCTGATCCTAAAGACCCGGGGGAACGGGATGGAGGTGGCAATGCCGTGTGAGCCCCTCCTCTCTGTACCCGAGAGGGCAGGGCTGGTTCTCCAGGAATCTGAGGTGTTGGCATGCAGCCACCCAACACTGTGATCACCGTATGGGGTAGTACCCCGCCAAAGGCTTTGGTTTGTTTTGTTTCATTCATTTAAGTTTATCAAGTGCCTACTGTGTGCCAGGCACTGTACTCATGACACCTGTGCTTGATTGACATAGGGTGGGTATGAGGACCAGATGAGAGTACAGGTATAGGGTCTGGGCACAGTGATGGGCAAGGGCAGACTCTTGAATTTGTGAGCTTCCTCCCTTTAAGATGCCTGCCGCCACCTGCGTTCAGCCAAGGTAACCCCTTCCCTGGGGCAGCTAGGCTTCTCATTCACCAAGAAGCCAGCGGGCATCACAGTGTGGGGTATGCAGGAGGCAGCCGATCAATGGTTCTCTCTCTCATCAAGGCATCACAGTCCCTCCCCAAGGCGGAAGCCAGGACGGGGCAGTGGGGAGCCGGTGATGGTGCTGCACTCCTGACCCCCGCGCTGCCCGCCCACGCGAAGGACAGGCCCCTACCTGGGCCTCTTCTAGGGCATGACCTGCGCCCACATCCCCCCAGGGTCCTCTCACGTCCGATGAGTCAGCCTGTGGTTTTCCCCTGCGCTGGGCCTGGGAAGGAAGTGCCGCTGCAGCCTCAGCAGAGAGAGCACGAACCCAGTCAGGGCCTGGCTCCCCCTCCAGCCGCGTTGAGACTCAGGACTCAGTAGCTCGGAGCACTCGCCTGCCTGCCCCTAACACCCAGTTAACCACAATGTCAGGGCTCCCAGAACAAGTCCTCCTGCCCCCGTTTCAGCTCCTCCCCTGCGGCTCTGCGGTTGTGTGTGCGTGTCCTTGTCTCACGTCCCGCCGGCCCCTGAACATCCTGAGGATCAACGAAAAGAAGTGCCCTGGCCCAGCTGGTGTGGCTCAGTGGTTGAGCCAGGAGGTCACTGTTTGATTCCCGATCAGGGCACCTGCCCGGGTTGCGGGCTCGATCCCCAGTGTGGGGGGTGTGCAGGAGGCAGCCAATTAATGGTTCTCTCTCATCATTGATGTTTCTATCTCTCCCTCTTCCTTCCTCTCTGATATCAATACAAACATATATTAAAAAAAGAAGTGCCATACTGGTCTGCATCCCAGGTGCTGGTACAGGGCGTGAGCGAGCAGGAACTGAGAGGTTCTTGCTGAACTAATTCGGTTTGCCCGTTTCCTCCTCTGCGAAGTGAGAGCACTACACCCCCGGCCTCCATCCTGATGGCGGGGCCGTGGACAGGAGGCACAATCCCAGGGGCTGTCTGCACGCCGACTCGCTGCCACCCCACCGGCCGCACAGTCTCACGGTTGCTGTCACTGTTATTATGCCATCAGAGAGAGGGCCTCGTCCTGGGGTGGGGTCTGGGACCTGACCGGTGCCTACCACCTTGCTGAAAACATTCCAGCTCTGGGAGGGAAAATGTTTGGTCTGTTCCTGCTGACCGGCCTGGGCTGGATCTTCACGGGGCGTTTTGTTCTTGCTTCACTGATGCACGGATGTTCTGAACAGCAGAGTGAAATGCTAGACTTGGAGAACCTTGATGCGTTTCTGTCATTAGCACCACAGGGTAACGTGCCTTGGAGCTTAGTAACCTGTAATAACATTCAAATGATATTTACAAAATGGGAGGCCACACGTGGGCCGATGTTGAGGGCGGCTGGGACCCCCGGATCCTGTGGAGACCAAAGCCTGCCCAGTGCTCTCCCCCTGCCAGGGCCAGGAGCAAGCGCAGATAATAGTGCTGCGCCCGGGGTTTCAGGGCCAGTGGGCTGGTCTCTCATCTGTTTGACACGCGGACTTTCCACGTGAGTTCATTTCAGCAAAGACTCCACGGCTACAACAGCAGCGAGGAACCCCTGGCCCGGTCCTACCTCCTCATTTTTTTAAAAAATAGATTTCAGAGAGGAAGGGAGAGGGAGAGAAAGAGAAAGAAACATCAGTGATGAGAGAGAATCATTGATCGGCGGCCTCCTGCACGCCTCACACTGGAAATTGAGCCCACAACCCAGGCATGTGTCCTGACCGGGAATCAAACCTTGGCCTCTGGTTCACAGGTTGATGCTCAGCCACTGAGCCAGGCCGGCTGGGTCCTACCTCCTCATTTTGCAAAGGAGGAAACCAAGACGCAAAGAGGGTCAGGGCCTTGTTCAAAGCCACAGGGCCTGTCAGGTGGCCTTAGAGCTGGAGAGGACTAAGGCGGGGGGGGGGGGGGGGGCGGTGGTGTCAGCGCTCTGCTCCCTCAGCAGCTGCGGCTGGGGGGGGGGGGGGAGGGCGGCAGGGTAGGGGGGAGTAGTCCCCCACCTTGCAGAGTCCCGGTTTCCTCGTCTATAAAAGGCCATGACATTGGCACCCACCTCCAGCGTTAACGAATGAGGAGTGGGTACCCAGGAGAAAGAAGGTGGTGACAAGTAGAAGGGAGGGAAGGAGGTGACGATGGTATCAGGGATGAGGATGAGGAAGGGGTGACCTGGAGCCCCCTGAGATGGGCTGGAGCAATGGAATCAGGGGTCCTTCCTTCTCTCTCTGCCCACTCACCCCCCGTCCCCCCACGGTGTCCTGGCCTCGCTGAGGTACCCACAGAGTCTGTAGAGTCTGGCCTGTCCTGGAAGTGTGGGTCCTACTCAGGGTCAAGTTTCTAGCACCTCCATGCCCCACAGGGTGCTGGTCACTGACAACAATGTCCTCCCCAATCCCATAGGGCCCCTCCCAGAGGGGTGCCGCTGGTCCCAGGGCTGACCTGTTGGAAGGAGGGCCAGCATGGGCCACGTGTCCCATTCCCAACCAGATTCCTGGAGTGGCCACCACACCTCCTCTCACCCCTCCCATCTTCAGAATAGCCAGGTGGGGTGGGAAACTGAGGCTCTGAAAGGCAAAACAATGATAAAATGGACGGTGGACACGACGGAGCACCCCTGTGCGTGGCCCTCTGCTAAGCACTTCACACCGTCCACTCAGGAGACCTCAGCCCTGAGACTAAGGCCCAGGGAGGTTCACCTGCCCGAGGTCACACGGCCAGAAGGTGCCAGAGCCTGAGTTTGAACCCACATTGGTCGGACTCCATGCCCTGGCCCCTAGGACCTTCCTCCGCATCCTTTTGGTAAAACCTTTATTTATTTTTAATAATTTTTTTTATTGATTTCAGAGAGGTAGGGAGAGGGAGAGAGATATAGAAACATCAATGATGTGAGAGAATCATTGATCGGCTGCCAACTGGGGATCAAGCCCGCAACCCAGGCACATGCCCTGACTGGGAATCGAACCGTGACCTCCTGGTTCATAGGTCGACACTCAACCACTGAGCCACCCAGGCCGGGCTGCTGACACCTTTCTACTATACGTTCCCAACCCTGGGACGCAGGCCTTGCTAACGAGGAGCCGGCGAGGTGGGGTGGGGACAAAGACCAGCCTGGTTTCAGCTCCGCTCCCCTGCCCCCTCCCCCATGAAGCTCTTGTCCATCGCTGTGAGGACGGGGCCTGGCCAGCCCTGAGGCTGAGCCCTTTCATCCCGGGACCTGCTGCTGACAGTCTCACATCCTCCCGGGTGAAGAATGTCACCTTGTTTCATATCTGCCTCCTGTGTGGTTGGCTGGGGAAGGGGACCGCAGGAGTGGGGTGAGGTTAACCTCATTGTTGTCTTATATGGTCATTTAAATCTCCCAGGGCTTCCTCCAAGGGCCAAAAATAATCCGAGACACAGCAGCTGTGTCCAGCACAGAGCGGACCGGGCCATCTGCTTTGGTTCAGAGCCCTGTGTCTGTCTGTCAGTCTCTCCCCCTCAAGCTCCCTCTGTCCTCCGACCTGCCTCTGGCCATGACCTGCTTCTCATATGCAGAGTACTTTTCCCTCTTTCACTCCTGCCCTGCACCCTCCAGGTCCACGGCGCCTCCCGAGAGCAGCTCGGCCCACTTGGGCCTGTTCCAGGGGGTCATGCAGAAATACAACCGCAACAAGGCCTCCCAGATGGCGTAAGTGACCCCGGGCTGCCCCTGAGACCATCCAGGCTCCTCTCCCAACTGGGGATGGTGGGGGAGAGGGGTGGGAAGCCTGCCCCCAGGCCCCAGGCGGGGGGGGGGAGGGCGGGAGGGCACTCTGGGGGAGACCTCCCAGGCACACCCTTTCCTAGGGTGTCCCCCTGAGACCCAGTGCTCTGCTGAGCTGGGCTTGGTGGTCACAGACTCGGCCCTCAAGCGATGGCCAGGCTGTGACTGTGATGAGCCTCTCAGAGCCCCAGAACGAGCCCTGAGTGCTGGGGGCTGGGGGCTCTGAACCTGGGGACCCAGCAGGGGAGCCTGCCCTAGAACCCCTGAGGCCCAGAGGGGTTCCGAGGAGCCGGAGCTGATAAGTCAGCCACACCCTCTGTCTCAGTTTTCCCCACCCCTTGTCATCACTGCGGGGGGGCAGGGTTCGTTTCACTTTGTTGCCTTTATTTGTTAACTGCCAGGTGCTAAAATCTAGAAATAATCGAGTTACCGATTACGAAGATGTGTTAGCCCCGCACCAGGGTGCTGGGCTAGGTGTGTCCGTGGGGAATAGCTCTGTCCCGTTTGCTTCTCTCTCCCCATATGGACCCCAGAAGCAGCTAAAAGGAAAAGAAGGGCCATCGCTGGCACCCTGTCCGCTTGCCCGGCTGTGCTGGGGAGAGGGGAGGAGGCCATGGCCAATGTTTCGCTCCTCCCCAGCCCATGTGAGTCCCCACTTCCGTGGTGCTGCAGGTGGGGTTTTGACTGTGGAGGAGACCCGGGTTCTGGTCTCGGCGCGGCTGAGGTTTCCTGTGACTGCTGGGGAGTCGCTGTGAGGTTAGAGGACAAGGCGCCTCCAGGGTCCTGTTCAGGTCCTTAGTTTCTGAGGGCTGACACCCCAGCGGCCACTCCCACCCTCGGGGCGGGGCGGGACTTTGGCTGGGCTCACAGAGAAGCCATCCTTGGCTCCAGGGGGAGGACACCAGGCTGGTGGCGGCTGAGAGTGTTCTCACTATGCCGCCCCCCCCCCTCCTCGCCCAAGGCCACAAGAACAGCCGGCCGCCTCTTTCCACTTCAGCCAGTGCCCCAGGAGACCTTCCAGGGAGACGGGACACATACCCCTCTGGGGCTGCTCTGGCCGCTCATCAGAGAGGAACTCGTCAGGGCGGCAGTGATGGCGTTGATGGGGATTCCAGGGCTTATCTGGTCAGTTACCCATCATCCTTGCTGGGTCTGTCACTGAACTGGCATCTAAGCTCCAAAGCTATTAATAACCGAGAGGCTGAGAGTCAGGGGGAAGTTCGCTCCGGCTGGAGGAAGCAGTGGGAGGGTAGAGGGGCTGGCCTGGGAGACCCTCAGGGCCTATCCCAGCCTCGGACAGGGGTGGGGCCCTGTTGCTTCTCCACCTGGGAAGTGGGGCCGCGTCTGTAGAATGTGCTCCAGGAGGAGATCTGGGAGTCATAGGCATCATGGTCTTCACTGACTCTCCAAGGATGGGGGACGGAGCTCTGAATGCATGCGTGATGAATGGATGAATGAATGAATGAATGAATGAATAAATGAAGTCGCTTTAATGAGCTAGGCAAAGAAGTTATCATTTGTATTAGCCCTGAATTCTTTTTGACATTCAGAGTTTTAAATGTATTGATGAATCAGATTGATTAATCCTAGAACTTAAGCCTTTCAGCTGCTAAAAGTTCTGGGGTGAGGATAGGGGCAGGAGCAAGAAGCGGGCTGCTGAGTGCAGAGTCTGCCTCGGAGCTGCTCAAAGCGCAGCCGGCCCCAGAGGTGAAGGTGCTGGGCCAGTGAGGGCGCCCTGCGCTCAGGGAAGGTGGTGAAGTGTCGCTAACACCGCCCGCGGTTCAGTCTTCCATCCCTTTGGAGGCGGGCACTGTACACACCAATCCTCTTAGCGGACGTGGTCTTGGTGTAACACCAGAGGCAGCCACTGACAACCACAGGACAGAGGGGTCCCCTAATTCTCTTCCAGCCACCAATGAGCCTTGTCTAAAAGGGACCCCGTGTCCAGCTGTGGAAGTGGAGGAGCTTGCCATGTCTCAGCCGTTTCCAGCAGTTTCCCTACGTGGCAGGCGTTTGGAGATGAAAGCTGTGAAAACGCCCAGGATGCTCACAGGGGGAGTGAACCTGGCGAGGCTTGAGCCGGACCCACACCCACCTTTGTAGGCCTTTATGTCCTCCAGATGCCCCAGGGAGGCCATTGGCACAAATGTTTTGAACAAGATGTAAACAAAATTCCCAAAGAAACAAGCAAAACTCTGATTAAAAAATAAAAAGAGGCTATCTTTTTGGAAACAGAAGGGATGAAGGTGTGAAATAATTGTTGGGGTTCCCAGGTTCTGAATTCTTCCTTTATTTCCTTCTTTTCTCCCTCCCTCCCTTTTTTCTTCCTTCCTTCCTTCTTTCCTTCTTCCTCTTCCTTTCTTCCTTTCTTCCTTCCTTCCTTCCTTCCTTCCTCCCTCCATCTCTTTCTTTCTTTCTTTCTTTCTTTCTTTCTTTCTTTCTTTCTTTCTTTCTTCCTTCCTTCCTTCCTTCCTTCCTTCCTCCCTCCCTCCCTCCCTCCCTCCCTCCCTCCCTCCCTCCCTCCCTCCCTCTCTTTCTTTCTTTCTTTCTTTCTTTCTTTCTTTCTTTCTTTCTTTCTTTCTTTCTTTCTTTCCATATTTATTTAGCACCTATTATGGGCCAGCCACTGATTTGTCCCTGGGAATTAAATCATGAGAAATAAAGAAAGACACAGTTATCTTCCTGGAGCTCATAGTCCGGTGGGGGAGACACACAATGGTCAAACAATCATTCAAAAACATGTGAAGGCCAGTGGTTATATGAGGTTTATGACTGGAGGCAGGGAGAGGCTGACCTGGCCAGGCAGGCTGAGGGAGCGGCGATGGAGCTGAGGTCTGGAGGGGCCAAGGTCAGGGCCGAGGTCGGCCGAGCTCCCAGGGCACCCCTGTGGGTTAGGAAGGATCATTCTCCTTGTTGCCGAGGACGCTGGCTACAAGAGGGTGGAGCGCCTGTCCAGACCAGCAGGGACAAGCGGGGCAAGTGACCCCACAGCTTGCACCGCTCCTGGCCACCAGCAGGCCCTGCTTTCCCCCTGGGAGAGAGGCCGCCTGGCCCAGCCTGTGCCCCGCTGTGCTCTGAGGAGGCCCCACCCCTGGTTCTCACAGGCCCGTGGACCCAGTGCTAAAGGCCATCAAGGAAGACGATGAAGAGGCCTTGAAGGCCATGATGCAGGCGGGGAGGAACCTCGCCGAGGCCAACAAGGAGGGCTGGCTGCCGCTGCACGAGGCGGCCTACTACGGCCAGCTGAGCTGCCTGAAGGCCCTGCACCGAGGTGAGGCCGCCGCTCTGGGTGCAGCCGGTCCGGGAGTGGGACTCGGGGCGAGGGCTCCTCCTCCGACAGCTTCGTGCGCTTTGCCCCACAGCCTGGGTGAAGGGCACGGCAAGGTTCGCTCCTGAGTTACAGTCTCCAAGTTGGGGGAGGGAAAATGACTTGTCCCCAAACGCAACGACCTCCTCTCACCCACCCAACCTCTCCGGACCTCCCAGGACAGGAAAGCCTAATTCCTAGAAAAGGAAGGAGTGGGGGTTGGCTTTGGGGAGAGCTACTGCCAGCTTGTTCTAGAATGTTCCAGAGGCTGATTTGGTGTGGAAAATACCGCAGCTGTGCCTGTGCCCTCCAAGGCCATCCCCCACAGCTGTGGGACCCTGGGCGAATCGTGTCTCCTCTCTGAGCCTCGGCTTCCCCCCAAGCCAAATGTGGGTGGGAACACCTGCGGCAGCACAGGCCCCAGACAGCCTACTGTACTCCAGGGCAGAAACAGCTGCATGAGACCGAGCTTCCAGCAGTGGCCGCTGGGACTGTAAGGGAAGGTCAGGGTCATTCGCCGAAGGAGGAGGTTCAACCAGGGAAGGCTTCCCAGAGGAGGTGGCATCTGAGCTGGATGCATATGACCAGGACGCTGAAACAGCCCTGTGAAAACTACTGAATCCAGGGCCAAGATGACGAAAGCAGGCTGGGTGGTCAATTGAGGCAGATGCCACATAAGCCTGTTCTTGGAGTTGGGAGGAAACTCTGACCACCCCTGTGTTGGGGTGAGGCCGGGGGCGGAGGGGAGAGGCAGGTATTTCCCTCTTTGATGAATGCAGTCTGTCCTCCCCAGCATACCCAGCAACAATCGACCAGCGCACCCTGCAGGAGGAAACAGCCCTTTACCTGGCAACGTGCAGGGGACACCTGGACTGCCTCCAATCCCTGCTGCAGGCGGGGGCCGAACCCGACATCTCCAACAAGTCCCGAGAGACACCTCTCTACAAAGGTGAGGCGCCCTGGTGGGCTTCCCGGAGGAAAAGTTCAGAAACTAGGTGGGCGATTGGGAGCATTGCTCCTGAGGCGCATGCCCCAGCCCCATGGGGTTTACTTGAAGGGGCAGCCTCACTCGGATGCATGGCTTAGGCCACTGATTCTCTCATTCATGCTTGTATTCGGTCAACATTTCCCAAGTCCTCCCCTGGGGTAGGCAGGCCGAGGAGCACTGAGGGCTCAGAATGGAAAGGACCATCCATGCCTGAGTCTTCTCCCAGGCCAAGGGGCATCGCCTCACATAACGGTCAGCACAGGGCGGTGAAGAGCATGGCTCAAGGCACCTGGGAGCACAGGGCAGGGGCCCTGACATGGGGAAGGGCACCCACAGGAGGGTGTACCTGGGCTGAGCCTGAACAGGAGGGATCTGCCAGCTGGACCAGCATGGGAAAAGCACAGGCAAAGACAAAGAGGTGTGGGAGAGAATTTGTACCTCTGGGATGCTTAAGCAAACCAAACACTGGTGGCTGAATCAATACATCATCCAAGGACATTGGCAACCCTAGCAAGTGCCCAGAGTCAAAAGCCAAATAATCCTAACAGCTGGCATGTATTGAGAGCTCTCTGTATGCCAGGCACTGTCCTTTTATTTACCTCATATCCATCTACATATGAGGTATCCATTTCACAGATGAGAGCCTAAGGCACAGAGACCTGCAATGAGATCCGGGATCACAGCCAGGGGCAGGCCTGGGATTTAAACTCAGGAAGGGGTATGACAGCTCCATGCTCTGAACTCCTACCCTATAAAGCATCTAGTGAGTCTGTGCCTACATCAGCCTTGGGTCTTGCAAAAGTGAGAGGGCTTCTACACCCAAAAACTACAGCATTCCCCAATCTCCCATGTGTCTGGTATCCAGCACCTGGAACATTCTGTAGGCAGCAGACACTGCAGACCTGCAGTTGAAGTGTCTCCCCCAGAACCCAGCTCCACTCAGCCACCACAGCCATCACCTGGACCCTCAGCTGTCCCAGAGAGCGCTCCCAGAATGCTGGGTGGGAGGTCCCAGGATCGGGGCGGGGGTGGAAGGTCCCAGGATGTGGGGTGGGAGGTCCCAGGATGCGGGGTGGGAGGTCCCAGGATGCGGGGTGGGAGGTCCCAGGATGTGGGGTGGGAGGTCCCAAGATGTGGGGTGAGAGCTTCCAGGATGTGGGGTTATAGCCGAAGCTCATGGACCTGTGTGAGCTCCAACTACGTGCTAAGCACCCTGCTAGAACCTTCCATGCACCACCTCGCTCTGTGCTCCCACAGCATCTTCTCAGGGAGGTTTTGTTACCTCTGCTTTACAGGCGAGGAAACCAAGGCTTCGGGGAATGGGGCTTCGCCTGAGGTCCTGTCTGGAACACTACCAGGCAGCCCCGTTCCTTCTCTCAGCCCCTGGCTGAGCCGGAGAAGCCTCCAGGGGCTACTAGTTCATTGGACAAGTGCCCCCGCACCCTGGTGACAACTCCGGCAGAGCAAAGAGTGCACTCAGGTCTAGAGAGAGAGGAGGCTTAAAAGGGAGGTTGGGGCAGGTTAAGCCAGACTTGATGAACTGCATTCAGGAGATAACTTCTACCCCAGATTAAGTGAGCAGCTCCTGTGGAGGGGCTGTGGCAGGAGTGTGGCCTGTGCTCCTCCTCGGGCCTTGGCAAGGTGGAAGGCTGACGCGGGGAACACTGGGAAGGGACATGACATCAGGCATCCCGGGACACTCCTGGGGACAGAGGTTTTCTGGACCCAACAACCTGCGTTTGAATCCCAGTTCTGCCCCTTACTGTCTGTGTGACCTCGGACAAGTCACTTACCCTCTCTGTGCCTCATTTTCCTCCTCCGTGCAAAGGGATAGTAACGCTGCCGATCTCAGGGATGGTTGAGAACATTAAATGAGCTAATCATGTAAAGTGCTCAGAACAGAGTGCCTGGCACATAACCAGTGCTATATGCACGTCAACAAACATCGATGCTAATCAGTATTACTATTACTGTTCGCTGTCTGTCCTATGCAGACACTGAAACTTAGTGCTGGCCTAGTGGATATTTGTTGAATGAATGGCGGAGGAGTGAATGAATGAATGAATGAATGAATGGACAAACAGGCGAATGACGTCTTGGCTGGCCAGGTCCTGCCAGAGGCCCTGCTGACCGTCTCGCTTCTCCCTGGGCACAGCCTGTGAGCGCAAGAACGTGGAGGCGGTGAGGATCCTGGTGCAGTACAACGCGGACACCAACCACCGCTGCAACCGCGGCTGGACAGCTCTGCATGAGTCTGTTTCTCGCAATGACCTGGAGGTCATGGAGATCCTGGTGAGCAGCGGCGCCAAGGTGGAGTCCAAGAATGCCTACGGCATCACCCCCCTGTTCGTGGCCGCCCAGAGCGGGCAGCTGGAGGCACTGAGATTCCTGGCCAAGCACGGTGAGTGCTAAGGAGTCCCCCAAGGGCACAGCTAGGAAGGTCCTCAGAGATCCACTCCAAGGGCAGGCAAGTTTAGGTGTCATCGTGTGGGCAAACTCTGATTATCTTCTTGGAGTGCTGTGTTGAGAGGGTTCTGAGGTTGTGTCTAGGCTCAGTGGGAAACCTGTTGAGATCCACCAGTGATGCCTGAAATTAGGCACAAACTCGGTAGGGGGTGGGTGAGGGGGCGTGGAGTGGAACACCAGCCCCATATTGGCGATCTCTAATCTAGCCCAACATCCTTGTTTTATAAATGAGGAATCCGAGGCCCGGAAAGGGGAAGTGAGTTCTCTATAGTCACATAGCAAATTGGTGGGAGAACCAGCCAGACTCTTAGTCTCCTGATACCACAACCACTTCTCCTTCTACCATGTCACACGTTGGGGCCAGAAGGAGCCTCAGACAGCATTTAGATCACTTCCTCATGTTGTAGTCGATGAAACCAAGGACCAGCATGGGAAAGTGGTTTGTTCAAAGGCACCCAGCAAGTTAGTGCAGACCTGGGATTTGAACTCAGGTCTTTGTACTCTTAGTCTGTAAAAAAATTTTTTCACTTAATGGAGAAAGGAAAACAATATTGCCTATGGCAGATGTCCTTGTGGTTAAAGAGTCTTATATTTTGATTTCCCCCAAGAACACTTTTGATTATTTTTTCTCTTTTGCTGGGAAGTGACCCTCCCTTTAGCAACAGAGAGGCCAGAGGTAAGCCAGACCCTGGGGCAGAGTTGGAATACTTTGTTGAAGACCTACTATGTGTCAGACACTGTACTAAGCATGAACACAGATTAGGCCAATGTGATTTTCTCCATAGTCGTGTCCTCATCCCATTTTATAGATAAAGAGACTGAGGCTCAGAGGTTAAATGATTGGACACGGCCAGAGCCTGGATTCTGACCGCATCCATCTGATCCCAACCTGCATGTTCTTTGCACCCGGCCACCCCACTGGGCCTCAAGAATGGCCCTTGTGGGACTTTGCTCAGATAAGCATCCGCTTACCATGTGCCTGAGCAGTTAGGGCAACAGACCCACGGCACTTCCTACAGCCAGGGATGGATCCTGACGGACCGGCTTGAGAACAAAGGGGCGCAGGCAGGGGCCTGGGAGCCAGGCAAGGAGGCCAGGCCAAGGGCAGGGCCCCAGCGGGCGGGAACCGGTGGACTCTGCACATCTGCGGAGCTCTCCCGCAGCCTCCGAGTCAAGGCCTGCTCCCGCTGTGGGCTGAGTCCATCTTTAATCCAAATATTTTTCCTGTGCGAGCAGCCGGCTTGGCCAGCGGGGTCCGGGCTTCCAGGGAGCCTGACTGAGAGGTGGTGCTAGAGCTGCTCGCCCACTCCCCCTCAGGGGCGGAGGGCCGGGCCTGCCCTGTGCCCAGCCCCCTCCACCCTGGAGAACTGCCATTTGCGGGCCCCTCCTCTGTGCCGGGCACCGGGCGGCTGTGACAGACCACAGACTGGCTGGCTCACAGGCAACAGGGGCTGTTGCTCATGGTTCCAGAGACTGGAAGTCCAAGGCCAAGGGCCCTGGCAAATTTGGTGCCTGGCGAGGGCCCACTTCCTGGTCACAGACAGCCGTCTCCTCGCTGTGTCCTCACACATTGGAAAAGTGAGAGATTCTCTGGGGTCCATTTAAAAATATATATTTTTTAAATTGATTTCAGAGAGGAAGGGAAGAGAGACAGAAACATCAATGATGAGAGAGAATCATTGATCGGCTGCCTCCTGCACACTGAGGATCGAGCCCACAACCCGGGCATGTGCCCCAACCAGAAATTGAACTGTGACCTCCTAGTTCCTAGGTCGACGCTCAACCACTGAGCCACGCCAGCCGGGCTGGGGTCCCTTTTATTAGGGTACAAATCCCACTCCTGGGGGCTCCAGATTGGAATCACCTCCCAGAGGCCCCACCTCGAACACCATCACTTTGGGGGTGAGGTTTCAACATATGCATTTTGGGGGGGACACTGTCTATAGCAGATATTTGCTTATTCTCGCAGTATCCCAATCAGTGGGTACCATTATTCCACCAGCAGCTGAGGAAACGAGGCTCCTGCAGGCTGCCCAGGGCCAGGGAGGTTGTAAGCCAGGAGAAAGAAGCTTCAGCCGGTCCTTGTCTGTCCCCAGAGCCTGTGCTCGGTCCACTAGACCAGAAATCAGTCATCAAAAATGAATGCTCACCCGAAAACCTGAGCTAAGCATGGGGCCTGAGGGAGGAGCTGTGATTACCTGACACTTTTGATTTCAGCCCTTCCTGACAGTCTACTGCCTCTCAGTTCCATTTCCTGCCAGAATAAGAGGGGCCGCGGACAGTCCGAGAAACCCAAGCAGTCAGCTCTCCCCCTCACCGCCAGGAGATGGAGGGGGTGGAGGAGCCTGGGCTGGGGGAGACTGCCACCAGACCTGCCTCCTCCTCCTGTCAGCATAGAGCAGTGCCATTTTCAAGGGAGACAGGAAGTAATTGCTCGTTCATTCTTGGAAACGGAAGGCAGAGATCGGGATTTGTTGTTGGGGTTCTTCTTCACTAGGGGGCTCTGTACTCTCCAAGACCCGCAAGGGAGGGCCTTCCTCAAGGCGGGGCCAGGCTCCTTTTACACGGAGAGAGGGGGACGAGCCTGGCCTCTGCCATCAGGCCATCTCCCATGCCTCCGCCATCAGACTATTCGGGTTCAAGTTCTGGCTCTTCACTTACGAGCTGGCGGGTCTGGGGCAAGTTGCATAGGTTCTCTGTGCTTCTCCACAGAGATGAGAGTAGTGGTGGTCACATGGGGTTGTGTTGTGGATTCCAAGACACAACCATGGAAAGCGCGGTGCCCGGCACACAGTAGGCGCTCCCCAAATGCCAGCACTGTGTGACAGCTTTTCACCTGCGAGAGGCCTCTGCTCAGGCAGGCAGGCCCCAGCGTCTCGGGGTTACGGAAGGGAGCTGGGGGTCCTCCAGGTGGACCCCTCCTTTCTAAGGACCCAACGTGCCACGGAGGTTAGCACAGCCCAACAGGGACATCCCATCAGGGACAGCGACCCCCGATCACTCACCGGTCTGCCTCTTCTTCGCCAGGCGCGGACATCAACACGCAGGCCAGCGACAGCGCGTCGGCCCTCTACGAGGCCTGCAAGAACGAGCACCAGCTGGTGGTGGAGTTTCTGCTGTCGCAGGGCGCCGACGCCAACAAGGCCAACAAGGACGGCATGCTCCCGCTTCACGTCGCCTCCAAGAAGGGCAACTACAGGTCAGCCCCGGCCCGCCCCCCCCCCAACCCACACGGGGCGGGGGGCTCCAAATGTCCCGCCCACAGGATGAGGAAGGCTCGGTCAGAGAGGAGGGCACCTTTGGAGGATGAGAGGAAAAGCGCTCAGCAGCTGGCCAGCTAGGGCGAATGCCCACAGCAACAGCAATGACAGTAATAAAGCAAACACTAGCTCTGACCACCACTTCCCATTATGAACTAATTTAATCCTTTTGATAATTCCACTTTCAATGATCCTTTTAACAAATCTACCGAGGTAGATACTGTTATCTCTGTTTTCCAAATGAGGAAGCTGAGACACAGAGAGGTTGAGTGATTTGCCCAAAGTCACACAGCCTATAGATGGTAGGAATTCACCCATCCCCAATGTCACATCTATAGGAATTCCACTCAAGGCACCAGATATGCATCTGAACTTGAGGTTATTTCTGGTGAGGATGCAAAACCAACCTTTAAGGCAATAAGCCAGTATGCAAGATGCCTACAATAATACCAATAGTACCAGCGATAATAGCTAAACCTTATTGATCACTTACTATGTGTGGGTACTTTGAGCAAGATGAGAGAAGCTTACTTCTCGGGGAGGGACCGGTGGGAGGAGAGGTGCACAGGTCTGTACACACACACACACACGAATTCATGGCATAACGAAAGAGCATTCCACAGTGGTCCTAGGGCACACTGGAAGCAGAGCTGTGCTAGAGCTGGTCAGTACCGGCTTGCACGAGCCGACTGTTCACGTTGAGAGCCTAAAACTGGCCATGGTGAGAGTATTTACACCACAGCCATTGGTGCATGCTACAAACCACGGGCTCCTCCAGACAATGTAACTGGGTAGCCCAGCAGAGCAGCGATTTTCAGCCTTTTCCATCTCACGACACACATAACTAATTATTAAAGTTCTGCAGCACACCAAAAAATAGGTTGTGTCTTTTGCTGATCTGACATTTAAAAATAGGTATGATTTTGATACATTTACACCGGATGGCTATTGTTGTCTTGATTGTTGTCATTTTTCTATTTGACAATCTCAGGGGAAAGAGGTCCGTGCCCCTGACCAAATAGTCAGGTATTGCATGTTTTAAACATTCTTGTGGCACACCGGTTGAACGTCGCAGTGGCAGCAAACCAGGATCTTAGTGTCCTTTTTGCAGCTGACATTTAGCAGAGACATGCATTTTGGACTCACTTTGCCCTCCTTGTTCTTACACTTGATCTTAGCCAAAAGGCCGAGAAGCGATTGACCTCCTTGTTCTTAAATATGCTTTCTGTTTTACTTTTAATTTATACTATCTTTGCAAGCCATTTAACACTCTTTCTAAGAAAAGGCAGAATGGAGAACATTTAGTAAGTTAAATTAAAGTGTAGCTAATACAGCACACTCACAAGCCAGTTGGTATCCCCATGAACTACAAGGGCAACTGAGGCTCAGAACTCAAGGCCTCACAGGAAATGAGAGGGGAGAGCGTGCGCACAGGCCTCATTCCCCACCCCGCCCCCTGCAGGAAGCTGGTTGGCTGCCTGTGTCTCCTGCGGGAAATGGTGAGGGTGGGCGTCCGTGTGTCTTAGGTGCGGGGCCTGGGTCACCTGCAGCAGACTCCCAGGTCCCTCCGTCCTGCTGGATCAGGCCCTGGACAGCAGGGCCCGGGACTCTGCATTTCCAGCGGTTCCCTGAGTGATCCTGAGTCGCACTGTGAGGAGAACTGGCAGTGTGCATGCTCAGCCAGCTCCACTGTGTACCTGCCTGCTCGTCCTCCTTCACGGAGGACCTGCTTCCTGCTGCAGCTCCCAGCAGTCCCCGGAAATGCTGCCACTCCTGGGCGGGGGCCCTCTGTGCCCTGGGAACACCCTCAGGCAGATGCTCCACTGGTGGACCTTTGCTGGCTCCAGCATGAGCATCACATGGGCTCAAGAAGAGGTAATCCCCCCCCCCCCACCACACACACACACACACACACACACACACACACACACACACACGGCAGGGCTCACACGGTGCAGCTCAGCGGTATTGGCCGCGGAGCCGTCTGTGGGCGGCTGGTTCCTTTGTGAAAGTCTAGTTCACAGTCAAAGTTACCCTGAACACTGACAAAGGTCACAGCACCGTGGCCTGGTGACCCAGAACGCCTCCAGGTCTTGAGCAGCAGGGCAGTGTGCTCCCCTCGCCCTGGTGGCCAAGATGCCAACAGCTACCATTTACTGAGTGCCTACTAGGCGCAGCTCAGCTTAACTTCTAAGATCTCATTTTATGCTCAACAGCAATCTCAGTGAAAGCATTACTAAATTGTGTTTTGTAACCTGGGCAGAGCAGTCGACCTTGCTGATTGGTCGGAGAGAGAATGAGATCAGCTCACAGGATCAGTTCCAGAGGGGCAGGGAACTGGGCCTCAGACACTGAGGGTTCTATCGGGCAATGGTCACCTTTGTTCCTCTTCATGAGGTGCATTTTGAGCAGCAAGCACTCTATGGTCCCAGGACCTGCCCATGGGAGAAGGGGGAAGGCCCCAGGTTGTCCTTCAGCCCACAGAAGGGGCTTGGGGAGAGAGGTGATGATATGGATGGATATGCAGTGGGGATGCCACCATGGCCACTCCCCTGTGTTAGGGGGACTGGGGCATCATGGAAAGGTCTGGCCTTGGACATACATACATTCTGGCCTGGCTTTGCTATCCACCTCCTGTCCAACCTCACTCTTATTCCCATCCCACATCCGTGCCTCAGTTTCACCCTCTGGAAAATGGGACGGCTGGACACACTGATCTCCAGACCTGTCCAGCATCACACACTCGTGTTCAGATTGGCAAAGTCCTACAGAGGCAGACAATAAGATGGTATTGCTACGTCGTTAAGATGATGCTTTGGGAATCTAGGCAGCGTCCAGTCATGTTCCCACATTTCGGCCCTTTCCCTCCGTTCAGGAAGGGATCACTCGAGACCAGCTGTGACCTGCCGGAGATACCAGCCCCCTCTGGCAGGTGGCCCCGGGCAGTCCCTCTCGCTGTTCTTTCCCGAGCTTGGGCAGGTTACGGCTGTTAGCGAGCATTTGTTGCCAATGGCCTCAGTCCAGGGTGAGGCCCCAGCCCTGCCTTGGACCAGCCCCTCTACAGAGCAAGGTCAGGCCTCCTGTGCCCGCACAAACAGAAATTAGGAGGCAATTAGTCCCCCTGGTGTGTGAATTTCCTTTTGAGGTTTTAGGCACAGATTTTAGGTAAATAAAGCGTTACTAACAATAATAACATTTTCCACTGAGACCCTAGCAGAGGTTGCTGGCATCAGAGTGCCAGGAAGCAGGGAAATCAACGTGCCAGGAGGCAGAGAGGCGTGGGAACGGGCCTGCTGGCACCGCCTTGCCCTGCCATGGCCACTTCCTTGGAGCCCACATAGGGACGTGAGGTCACCTGTCATCAAGGATTAGACGGATTGGGGTCTGGAATCATGACAGAAGCTTGTTCCTGCAGGTGGCAAGGGTCCAGGGGAAGACAGCAGAGACAAGGGGTCAAGAGCGCTGGGGCCAAGCCCCCAGAACTGCTTTACGACCCTTGATTAGTCCCTTCATTTCTCTGAGCCACATCAGTCAAAAGGGAGCCACAGACCTGCTCTGGCTACCCCACAGGGCTGCAGGGAAGGTGAAACGGGACAGGCAAGTAATGCATCATGAAACATGTGAAGCCCCATGACATACCTGCTACACAAAAAATAAGGGTGTGGTTCAGAGTGTGGCCCTCTCTCTAGGGCAGTGGTTCTCAACCTTCCTAATGCCGCGACCCTTTAATACAGTTCCTCATGTTGTGGTGACCCCCAATTTCATTGTTACAAATTGAACATAATGAAAGCATAGTGATTAATCACAAAAACAATATGTCATTATATATGTGTTTTCCGACGGTCTTAGGCGACCCCTGTGAAAGGGTCTTTCGATCCCCAAAGGGGTCACGACACACAGGTTGAGAACAGCTGCTCTAGGGGGAATGGGACTACCTGCATTCAAATCCCGGTGCCGTCACTTACTGGCTGTGCATCCTTGGGCAAGTCACATACCCTCTCTGGGCTTCTGTTTCCTCATCTGTAAAGGAAGATAATACTAGTACCCACCTCATAGGGCTATTGGGAGGGTGTAACAGATTAATGCAGGGCAAGTGCTGAAGGCAGTGCTGATAGTACTAGTAGTTAGTACACGTTGGTGGCAGTGATGTGCTGATCCAGCGGGACAGAGCTGCCCAGGGATCTCCAGCCTCAGCAGGGGCTGACCAACCCACCCCAGGCCACAGGCAGAGCAGAGAGCCTGGGAGAGGCTGGAGTCAGACTTCAGCATTAGAGGCACTGAGACTTACAGGACAGGGGGCACCCTGTCCACCTCATGGCCACCCAGCTCCACCGCTTACTGGCTATGTGACTTTGGGAAGGCGGTTGAAGCTCTCTGAGACTCAGTTTCCCTCTCTGTGAAGTGGGGATAGCAGCAGGCCCACCCTTCCAAAAGGGGTAACTGTGAGGGCTGGCCGGCTCCTCAGCGCCCCCTGCTGGTAGGCCCGCGCCTCCCTACATAGAGTAGTTGTGAGTGGCCGAGCCTGGTCCCTCAGCGCCCCCTGCTGGACCGTGACCCGCGCGTGCGCGCTCCGCCTTGCAGGATCGTGCAGATGCTGCTGCCGGTGACCAGCCGCACGCGCGTGCGCAGGAGCGGCATCAGCCCGCTGCACCTGGCGGCCGAGCGCAACCACGACCACGTGCTCGAGGCGCTGCTGGGCGCGCGCTTCGACGTGAACGCGCCGCTGGCGCCCGAGCGCTCGCGCCTCTACGAGGACCGGCGCAGCTCCGCGCTCTACTTCGCCGTGGTCAACAACAACGCGTACGCCGCCGAGCTGCTGCTGCAGGCGGGCGCCGACCCCAACTGCGACGTCATCAGCCCCCTGCTCGTGGCCATCCGCCACGGCTCCCTGCGCATCATGCAGCTGCTGCTGGACCACGGCGCCAACATCGACGCCTACATCGCCACGCACCCCACCTCCTTCCCCGCCACCATCATGTTCTCCATGAAGTACCTGTCGCTGCTCAAGTTCCTCATGGACCTCGGCTGCGACGGCGAGCCCTGCTTCTCCTGCACCTACGGCAACGGCCCGCACCCGCCCGCCCCGCCCCCTTCCAGCAGGTTCAACGACGTGCCCGCCTGCGGCAAGGCGCCCTGCGTGGTCCAGGTAGGGGGTGGGGACGCCTGGGGACGGGACGCGGCCATGGGCTCGCAGTGAATGCTTTGGGAGGGCGTGTGGGTTAGTGGTTAGTGCGCTTTGGTGGCAGTAGAACCGGGTGGTTAGAAGGTTTCAGAAGCAGCAGAACTTAGTTGTTCACACGAACAATTAAACCCTTTCTGGTCCGCTGTCTTGGGGAATTTCAGGAAGGAACAGTGGGGCAGGGGGCTGGTGGGGAACTCTGCAAAAACCAGAGGTCATCACCCCCAGCAAGCCTGTGGCTGGAAAGGGGGGTTGAATGAGCAGGACCCGGATGGAGGCGAAAGCAGGTGGGTCTAAGGTCAGGCGAGATGCAAGGTCAGAGCAGAGGTCGACCTGTCCATGGTGGTAACCCAAGAAGTCAGAACTTAATGAAAAGGAAGTTAGAACACCCGGCTCTCGGAGATCATTACAGTGGCTAACGGCCATCATTGATGAGCCACCTACTGCGTGCAGAGAAGTTGATGTTCATACTACTTTCATTCTCATAAGCCCCTGAAGTGGGTGTTATATACCCATTTTCTAGATGAGGAAGTTGAGGCTTAGAGAGGTGGTGCCACTGGCCTAAGCTGCCCACCGCCCATTTCTGGCAGCAGAGGCCTGTGTTGACGAGACGAGGGAACTGGATCCTAGCTGGTGTACCCAGTGTCCGTCCTGGGACATGTCAGCCTGAGGCTGCCGCCTGCAGGATGAGCTGGCGGAGGCGGTGCCCTTGTCCTGGGCGTCCCAGCGGTGTGTGCTCCCTTTCAGTTCTGCGAGATCCTGTCTGCCCCCGAGGTGAGCCGCTGGGCAGGGCCCATCATCGACGTCCTTCTGGACTACGTGGGCAACGTGCAGCTGTGCTCGCGGCTGAAGGAGCACATTGACAGCTACGAGGACTGGGCTGTCATCAAGGAGAAGGCAGGTAGGGCTGTCACTGCTGCTGGCACGTCTCGCTGCCCGACTCGGGCCCCGGGCTGGGGACATGTGACTGTTACTAACATTTGGTGACCACCTACTCCGTGCCACGTTCTGTGCTGTGAGTCACATACAGTGTCTTCGTGATTCTTTGTTCTGTAATTGAGGAGACTGACCCTCGGAGACTATGTTACCTGGGCCAGGGTCTCACCGCTAGTCAGTGGCAGAGCTGGGATTCAAATCCAGGTTTGACCCACTCGAGTCCTTCCACTGTCTTTCCGGGACGTTTTAAACCAGTGGTTCTCAACCTTCTGGCCCTTTAAATACAGTTCCTCATGCTGTGACCCAACCATAAAATTATTTTCGTTGCTACTTCATAACTGTAATGTTGCTGCTGTTATGAATTGTAATGTAAATATTTGATATGCAGGATGGTCTTAGGCGACCCCTGTGAAAGGGTCGTTCGACCGCCAAAGGGGTCGCGACCCACAGGTTGAGAAACGCTGTTTTAAACAGTTCCAGCTCCCTAAGGGATATCGGATGTTCAGAGCAAGTTGCCCATGTTTGTGAGCCGCTGAGAGGCAGCACGGTGAGGTCCAGGAGAGAACGATGGCCTAGAGCAGTGACGGCGAACCTCTGACAGGCGTGTCAGAGGTGACACGCGAACTCATTTTTTTGGTTGATTTTTCTTTGTTAAATGGCATTTAAATATATAAAATAAATATCAAAAATATAAATCTTTGTTTTACTATGGTTGCAAATATCAAAACATTTCTATATGTGACACGGCACCAGAGTTAAGTTAGAGTTTTTCAAAATGCTGACACGCCGAGCTCAAGAGGTTCGCCATCACTGGCCTAGAGTGCAGAGTGCATATGAAGCACACGGACATCTTATTAAAAAAGCAGGAGCTGGCTCAGCAGGTCTGGGCAGGGCCTGAGAGCCTGCATTTCAGCATGCCGCCAGGCGGTGCCAGCGCTGCCGATCTACAAACCCACCTGGAGCAGCACTGGTGTAGGAGGCAGACCCCCTGAGCCCCGAGCTTGCTAGGTGGCCGTGGGCCTCAGCATCCGCATCTGAGCAGAGGAGCTTGGGTGTGTCCCGCCCCCTTCAACTGCGCCAGCCTGAGGTGCCTGCAGGGGGCGCGATGTGCCTGGTGCAGTGAGGTGGGGTTTGGCCAGGGTCCAGCTGCTGTGTGCAGTGTAGACGGGGCAGCCTGGCTAAGCCAGTTTGAGAATCCCTCCTAAGCATTAGAGAGCTCACGGGGCAGGTGAGACGGCAGAATCAGTGGGACTGGGTGCTGACACCAGTGAGAATTGGGTGCCTGCCCAGAGGAGTCCTGGCTGCCCCAGCCTTTCTCTGGCTCTGAGGGGCACAGTCCCAGCCTTTCTCTGGCTCTGAGGGGCTGCCCCAGCCTTTCTCTGGCTCCGAGGGGCTGCCCCAGCTCTGCCCAAGCGTCAGTCCTGTGGCACAGACTGACAGCAAGCCAGTGGTACTATCCCACCGCTGCTGCCTTCCCCTGGCACGTTGCCTGTCCAGGTGCCTACCATCCCAGTGCCCGACTCTGACTTGCCAGGCTCCTCCTTGATCCCCACACCCCTTTGCACCTAAACCTACTGCAAGAGTTTGCATTTGGACAAATGCCTGGGAAGCACTTGAATTGAGACCCTTGATAAAGTTCCTGGGCCGGCAGCAGGGGGAGGATGGCATTGATGGGCACAGCCCTCGATGCTCAATAAGCTTTCACTGGGTTCACGAGTCATTGGTGACTGTCACCATGACCCTCCGCGGCCGCCTGAGGGTGGAGCAGTCCCTGCTTCGATGTTGGCCTTGCCCCTCACTGTCCCCTCCCCCTCTCCTCCCTAGAGAAAGCTAATCCCTTACAACTAGACAGCGTCCCAGGGAAAATGAGCAGAACCAAACACCTAGTAACAGGTAGAACAAATAGTTCCCAACCGATACCTGCTCGGTTGCCTTAAAGCCGACCCTCCACCTGCAGAACACTCCCCCTGTGCTTTTTCGTTCAAGGCTGCGATGCTGATGTCGTTATTTACGAGGAAGGGCGGACAGAGGCTCGGAGAGGTGGCCTGATACACCCAGAGTCTCCTAAGTTACCCAGGCCGCCAGCCCAGTCCTGGCGGTCCCGTGTCCTCGGCCTCACCAGTGGCCTTTTGGCCCCCCCACCCCAAGTTCCGTCTTCGCCCGGCTGAGAAAGGGGCCAAGCTTCCCAGCGGGCAGGCTCTGTCCCAAGGGAGAGCGAAAGGCAGTGGAAGTGTCCGAAGTGCAGCGACGGCACCTTCTCACCTAGTGAGGCAGCCCCGCAGCTGCCTGGCCTCGGTCCTCCCCCACGCTCCCTCTGTGTCCCGTCTTCCCTGGGCGGCCAGGGCCTCCTTGGCCTGGCACTGATGTTTCCTCTGCTTGCAATGCCCCTGCCTCCCTTCCTCGCCTGGCAAATTCCTGCCCAATCGTCAAGGCCCCCCTCAGATGGCAGCGTATGGCGTGAAAGCCTTCGGCAAAGGTCCCTGGCCGGCACCTCGCTGTCTCAGGCCTGACCACAGAGCCAGGCACAGCGAAGGGGTCAGCATGCGTTTGCTGAATGAGTAAATGAATGGCCTTTGATTCAACCAACACCTTCCCTGTGCCAGACCTTGTGCCTGGGGCTGAAATAAATGACCCCATTACTAGTCGTATTGGTCCCTGTTTTTACCTCACAGCCCGTCCCCTCCACCAGCAGAGACCACTCACTGTCCTTCATTCACTGAGGAGCCATCCTCGGGGGCCTCCGGGGCGAGGCACCAGGTGCGATTCTGGAACCTGGAGCCTGCTGGGAGCTGTCCAGTCCCTGCCCAGCCCCTGCCCAGCCCCTGCCCAGCCCCTGCCCTGGTCTCTGCACCACCCGGAGCCAAGCTGCCTGGCCTGCACAGAGGCATTTAGCAGCTCAGGTTCCTCAGCCTCTTGCTAAGGGCTGTGCTGAGGGTCCAGGCTGTGTATGCAGAGGAAGAAGCAAACCCTTCGCAGGCTGCAGAGGACAGGTCAGCATCTCTCTGTCCTTTCCCCAGAACCGCCGAGACCTCTGACTCACCTCTGCAGGCTGCAGGTTCGGAAGGCCATTGGCAAATACCGTCTGAAACTCCTGGACACGTTGCCGCTCCCAGGCAGGCTGATTCGGTACCTGAAGTACGAGAACACCCAGTAACCAGGGCACGTGGAGAAGGAGTGCTCCTCAGACTGTTTCACTGAATCTCAGGACAGTGGGGTCCCCAAATCCAGGGGACCTGGTGATGGCGAGGCTGTGGGCTGCTCCCCCTGCGCTGGGGCAGCCGCTGTGACCTCACCGGGTCTCTGGGCCAGAGCTGTGCCCAGAGCAGAGAACGGAATATGTCGAGGAGGAGGAAAATCTTGTTTCTTTGCAAATCGACGAGTAGATCCCAGAGCTTCTCTGCCATCAGGAAGGGCAGGAACTTCCGTTCCGGGTCGGGGCGGCTGGCGGGGGAGAACGTGGGGCGGGGGTGCTGGAGCGCTCAGGGCTGAGTGCCTTCCTGGACAACTTCACTGCGGAGCTGGCCCCGCCCCTGCCCCTCTGCTCTGTGAACCCCTCCACAGGTATGGCCTGTTGGGGGGCTGGGGAGACCCTCGGGCCCAGAGGGCTTCCTGGTACAATAAATGTTGCACAGATGCCTCCTTGCCCAGCGTGGTCCCTCTCACCAGACACGCCAGGGCCTGGGGCCCTCAGCCCTGCTCGTGGTGGGAGTGGGGGCGGGGTGGGGGCTGGGGACCGGGCACATGGGTCTCCTGGGTTTGGGCTGCCCCAGTCCCCATGTGGCTCTGTGGGGTGAGGCAGGCAGGAGCTGCCGGCCACCTTCAATGGTGGAGGTGAGAAAGCTGAGTCCCCGGTGCTGAGACCAGTGCGCCCCGTTTTACGCACGCTGCGGGGCTCCCTGAGTTCTCTTCCCCGGCGTGACGAAAGCATGGCGGGGACCCAGGGCAGGAGAGCCTGTGCCGGCTGCCCCGGGGTCTGGAAGAGCCTTAGGCCAGGTCACACCTGGTTTCAGGCCTGGGAAAGTGAATGGCAGGGCAGGTGTGGGGAGCCCTGGCTGCACGCCCCGCTCTGCCTCTAGCTTGCTCCTCTGGGGCCTCGGGTTCCTCATCGCGGTGGCCCCCGTGGCCTTGCCAGCTCCTACATACGGGCTTTTCAGAGAACCAGTCAGTCCTGGGGCTGCCTGGAGAGGAAAAGCCTTCCGGGCAACACGTTAAAGCCACGGCCAGAGGGGAGTCAGCAGAACTGTGCCCACTCCCTCGCGGCGCAGCGGGCCCGGCACGCACAGCGCGTCCCTGGGGTTCCAGCCCCGAGTGCTTGGCCAGGGTCCCACGCTGCCTTGCTCCAGTGGTCCTGGAAAAGTCCTTGGAAACCCGGTCCTCCCAGACTGGGGATGATCCACCCCGGTGGGCGGGGTGGGGGGCAGCCAGTGAAGGGCTGGAGCAGAAAGGTGTTCAGGTGCAGTTGGTGTGGGGCTGGCTGTCAGGAAACTCTTCATCTCTGGCACTTCTCAGAGGGTCCGAGCAGGCAGGGCCCCAGGCACCCCGGGGCGGTCTAGTGAGGCACCCCTGGAGAAGGGGAGGTTGAGAGGGAGGTGGGAGGCGTAGGGAAGGAGGGCTCAGCCACTGCCCATTGGCACCATTTGCTTATAGGATGTGGGACCCTGGGCTTGGGATGTCCTGGTGCCACATTTGCATTCTTGGATTTTCTTTCTTTTTAAAAATATATTTTATTTGTTTCAGAGAAGAGGAGAGAGGGAAAGAGAGAGAAACATCAATGATGAGAGAGAATCACTGATGGGCTGCCTCCTGCATGCCCCACACAGGGGATTGAACCCAAAAGCCGGGCATGTGCCCCGAAGGGGAATCAAACCGTGACCTCCTGGTTCATAGGTTGAAGCTTAACCTCTGAGCCACACTGGCCGGGGTACTTTCTTTCTTTAAAAAAGTCTTATTGATGAGAGAGAGAGAGAGAGAGAGAGAGAGAGAGAGAGAGAGAGAGAGAGATCCCAGAGCTCCATTGTTTCTGAGGGCCCAGGGAGGTTGGATGGCCCAGTCCACAGCATCACTGAAATACCAGCATGGCAGGACCTACAGACACTGCCCGATAACCAGGAGAGGTGGCCTTCGGTTGTGCAGCGTTTCACCACTTGGGTAGCAGTACTGGCATCATCCCCACATCAACCCGCAGCAGGCCTATTTTCAATTACATTTTTCCAATGAGGAGATTTTGGCACAGAGAGGTTGAGTAACTTTTCCAAGGTCACACAGCTAGTAGGTGGCAGAGCCCCGATTAGTGCTTTTTACATTCTGCTTTACTGTGTGCAGGGGCTGAGCCTCATCGGAATGGATCCACACGCTTGTGACTGGTCCCCTCCCTGCCCCTTAAGACCAGAGCAGCTGGGGGGAGGGTCCTGGCTGAGGGCTCGCTGTCCATGCTGCCTGTGCCGCACGGCCTCTGTGGCTCTGAAGTCCTCCAAGACCAGTGGACACAAACCGATCCCCAGCATGGGCTGCCCGTCCATGTGGATGGGCCTTAGGGGAGCCCTGGGGTACAAATGGGCAGGTGGGAGAGTCCCGTAGCCATCGCTAATCCGGGAGCCTCACGTTAGGATGCTGAGTCCTAATAAAGTGGAAGGCACCACAGAGGGACCATTACCCTCCCACCCGCTTCTGCAGGTGGGGCCAGGAGGCCTGAGAGGAGGTCCAGCCCCACGTCCCACGCAGGACACAGCTCCGCCCCCTGGCACCATCCTCCCTGGTGGCTTGTCCCCCCGCCCCCTCCTTCAAATTGAGCGGTTGGCCTCCAGTGCCCACGCCCACGGCTGGCCTCCCCCAGCTGTCACCTCCATGAGCAGCCCTCCTCCTGGGTGCAGCCAGCACTTCTTAGGCCTGGGGACCATTCAATTTCATGAGACCCAAGGTGTGGAAACTGCAAAAGAAACGCCTTTATTCTTTAAACCTTCTTATTATTTACAAAGAACAAAAATAACAGAACTGAGGTTGGCTTACAGAGTGGGTGGCAGAATAACAGATGTGTAACTCAGGCTTCGGGGGTGATTGGCCGACCAGGGCGAAGCCCCGAGGTCTGCACAGGGACGGGGGGATGATCCCTCGGGCTCTGGCCTGGAGCGGGACCTGCTGAGCCCGGCCCCGCAGCTCCCAAGGCGAAGGCCTGAGAAGGCCGGCCCTGATCCCGCCCGCCCCGCCCCGCACACATATAAAGGGAAGGCTCTCAAGAGGCCACACCACACCGCTGCCCGGCCCCCTGCTCCCAGGGGAGCTCCTGGGGCCCCACACGCCCGCAGGCCTGAGGCGGGAGCGAGGCCCGCAGCCCCGCTAGAGGTAGCCAAAGACGTTGAAGATGGGCGGGGGCATGGCCGGCTTCGTGGGGATGGGCTTCAGGACCACGGGCCTGTATACCTTCTGCCCCGGGCCATCCACATCCTTGGCCAGATGGGCCAGCTCCCCGGGGGAGGCCGGGCTTTTCCTCCACAGGCCCAGGCTGGGGACGGGGCCCTGCGGCAAGGCCCCTGGAGGGCCCGGGTACATGGGCTGTCCATGGTACTGGAAGGGGCAGCAGCTCCAGGCATTGACACGGCCCACCAGGGAGACCCCAGGCAACTTGGGTGGCTCCTTTTCAGCCAGTGCCCTGGGGGACATGGGGATCAGGGCCATGTCGGGCCCGAAGAGCTCCAAGCCCCTGCAGTGTTTCTTACACTCGTAGGGAGGTCCCTCTCTCGGGCCCAGGACCCCCTCCAGCGCCACGGGGTAGCTGTGGGTGGGCCGCGGCTCTTCCCAGAAGGAAGCGGGCAGCTGTCTTTTCCTCATGGGCACCTGGCCAGGCCTGGCAGCTCCTGGATTCTGCCCCTGTAGGGTCTGCTCCCTAGAGAGACACTCCTCCCTGTAGGGGTTCCCCAGAGCCTTCTCCTTGCAGGCCCCACCACTGCTAGGGCTGGCGTCAGGGCCGGGATTGAGGGGCAGCCTCCCGGGGCGGTCCTCAGGCCCCCTTCTCAGGGTAGCCTCGGCCCCTCGGCCTGGGAGGCCCCGAGGCAGCCGGGAGTACTTCTGGGAGAAGCGTTTGAGCTGCTTCTGCAGGTACTTGCGGTGGTCCACAGAGCGGCGGCAGGGCGCCGACTTGTCCAGAGCCGCCTTGATGTCACTGGAAGCCAGATTCACAAAGTTCAGCAGCATCTTCACGTCACTGTCGGATGCCATCACCAGGGGGGCCACTGCACCGGGCTTTCCATGAAGAGGGTGGTCTGCTCGTGGCGGGCAGCTCCAGGGAAGGGCACCGAGCTGACCTGGGGGACACACCGGCCGTTGGAGTCTCTCCAAGCAGCCAACTCAGCCCTCCCCCTCAAAGGCCACGTGGCTGCAAACAGTGGCCCCGGCCCCCCTCCGCCCCTGACAGAGTCCCGGGCAGTGGGACACCCATTCCAGCGTGTCCTGAGCATCGGGGATGGGCCAGGCTCAGACACCTTAGTCTGCTTGGGTCGGTCGCCCTCTCCCTGCAGCTGAGGCTCAAGGAGGTCAGGTGACGTGCCCAAGGTGGCCCAGCCACAAGTGGCGTTGCTGGGGCTGGAGCACAGGTCCCCTCGTTCCCAGCCCACTGTCTCCCACACACCACGCTGCCAACGTGCACACTTGCCAGCCAGGTTTTTCTTTTCTGAGCAGGGGTGACTGCTCCGCTCCCAAGCCAAACCCCGGTCTCCCTGGTGGTGCCCTCCTCCTCCCACCCCCGCCCCAGCCCTGCGAGCAGCAGCCCCCCTCCTCGGTCCCCACGCTCCACCCCCAGCTCTCCTGCGGGACGGGCAGGACCCTGTCTGGCACTCCAGCGCAGGCCTGCCTGGCGGGCTGAGCTCAGGCTGTGGCAGCGGGAACACCCCTGCAGAAGCATCTGCAGCAATTTCATGCCTCCTGGGCCACCTCCCACAGCCCCTCGCCCCTCCCCCGGGCCCCAGCCGGCCCCACGCCCCCACCCAGCCGGGCCGGCCGACTGGGCCTCCACACTGACCGAGGGTGCGGGCCCGGCCGGCCAACGTGGTCCGGCTGGTTCCCGCCGCAGACCTGGGTCAGGCCCGCGCGGCCGGCGAGCTCCGGTTGTCCGGCTGGAAGCGGTTGTGCCGCCCTCGAGTGGGCTGAATGGAGGACAAGTCCCCAGAGCTGGGGGGCCCCCTAGGCCAATCAGGAGCGCCTCTCCAGATACAAAGCATCCCAATCAGGCGGCAGCGCCCCGTTCCCACATTCTTTGCCGTCACAAATTGTCACCATGGGGACCATCACAAAAAAGACAGCTCCCAAATGCAATCATTTCCCGGTAAATTTCTACCCTCAGTCCCTCTCTCCCCCTCGGCCTCCACGCCCTCCTCCCCTTGACCTCGGTTCCCTGGTTTCTCGAGGGGGTGAGGGGTGTGTTTAAAAAGTCCGGGACTGAGGCGGGGCTGGGCCCAGAGACGGGCTGGCCCTCCTCCCCACAGGCTCCCGGCCCGCCCGGCCCGCGGCTGCCATGCTCCAGTGCAGACCATCGGACGGGTAAGCTGGGCAGGCGGCCTTCCCTGCTGTCCTTGAGTGTTGAGTGGCTCCCTCCTCTCCTCTCTCTTTCCCCACCCCGCTCCCCGAGGCAGGCCTGTGAGGGCCGGCGGCACACTGGCGTGGGCATAGGTAGCAGGGAAGGACTCTCTAACGAGGGGCCGGGATATCCATGGGAAGGCAGCCGCAGCTCTCAGGAATCTTGTCTTTATGTTTGCTTCCTCAATTGAGCTGCACAAAGCCTGAATTGCCCATTCAGTGCGGCCGGACAAAAGGTTGGCGTTGCACGGTCCCCTTGCATTTGTAGTCAAACAGTTAGGGACTTAAATCGAGTCGTCATGATGGAGAAAGAGGTGGACAAAGCCCATAGAATTGCCATCAGCAAACATTTTCCTGTGTCATATTAGCCAGTCTCCATGGCTCCCCCTGGCCTGGGGACAATGGCACAAGTCTGCACACTTGGCTACTGTCACCGTGCCAACGGCGGCGGGGCCACAAGCAGGGCCGCTCTGAGCGAGCAAGGGAGCCCAGAGCCGGCCGTGGGCCCTGCCCACCAACTGGCCAGAGGGAAGGTGAGGCCAGTGGCAGAGGGAGGCTGCCTGGGAAATGTGGATGGGCTAGGCCTCCGTGCCAGCCAGCCAGACTGGTGGACCCCCTATACCTCCTGCCTGTCCCCTCCTTCACTCCTCCCTCTTCCTTCCCTTCTCTTTTTTCTACCACCTTCTCCTTCTGTGCCCTGGCTGGCCAAATGGTGGTGCTCTATGCACCAACCCACACCTTGGCACCACCACCTGAAATGCCAGGGACTCCTCTCTGAAGCGCCCCTCCCAGACTGGGAGCACTGACAGGGAGGGCCAGGCTTCACCCGGGAGTGACGGTTCCACCCCCTCCTGCTGGCCAATAGACAGCTGCTACTGCAGGGGACGCCTGCCTGCAGTGACAGGGCTCCAAGCCACCTCCCGCTCTGGCCCGAGGGTCCCTGCAGGCAAAATGAAGGGCTCGGCAGAGAGAGCCCATCCTGGGGAGTCGTGGTTGTATTCTCTGTGCCCCGTTTCCCTGCTGTGGGGGTGGGGGAAGCGTGGACTGAGATGGAGGTGACCTTGAACTGGAGCATCCTGGGTCATTGGCCACCACAAGGCCTGGAGAGCGTGGCCCCTGTTCACAGAAGCCTGTGCGTGGATGAGCGCCAAACCATTGTGGCTTTAAGCCCCTGAGTGTTGGGGATCACTTGTTTCTGCAGCAGAACCCAGCCCACTCTGACCAGTGCAGACTGGAAGCATCCTTTCCGCCCCAAACCACTGAGCACATGCTGCTGGGGACAATGCTGAGGTCATGGGGTTAGGCTGGCACATCTCCCATCACAGCTCCGGCTGCCTCCTGACACACCCAGCCCCCGTGTGTGAGCTCCAGGAGGGCTCTGCCTCTCCGGTGACTAGAATGGCCTTGGCCCAGAGCAGCCCTTGCTGTTGCTGAGGTGGTACTTGATGGCCCGTCGTCTGTGTTTCTCTGGGACTGTGGGTGCCTGGAAAGCAGGAGGCCCTGCTTCCCAACTGCATCCCCTGCACCAGAGCAGGGCTTCTAGAAAGCTCCGTAACGGCACGTAAGCTGTGCGGACTTGCACTTGAGGATCCCTTCCCAACTCGGCCGTGACCGCCTGCAGATCGTCCACTTTCCAGCTGTGCCCACCCCACCCCAAGTGTATCCACCCCACTCAGCGACAGGGACACCCCGCTTCCGGGCAACTCCGCTCCGCACCTGCTGTGTGTCAGGGACTCGAGGGTGCGGGGTGGGCCTGTGCGGCTTGCTCCTCTGTCCGAGGCCACTTGCTGGCGGGGAGATGGGCTTGGTCTTGGTGACTCGGCAGCCACCTCCTGCCCACCGGCCAGTGAGACAGAACCCTGGGTGGCGGCCTGGCACCAGCCACCCCTTGTTTCGATGGCAGGATATGGAGAAAACCGTGATTTACGGAGGTAGGCAGCTGGCACGGTCATTTTAAAAAGCCTGTCCTGCAACCTCAGGGTAGTCATCAAATGCCTACCCAGCACTCATCGCTTGGTCGATGTCCATAACACGTATTAAGGCATTTTTTTCTGCCCAGGTGCCAGGATACTGTCTTGAATGGATAAGGAAACTGAGGCACAGAGCCTGGAGCCTTACCCCAGGTCCCTGCTCAGTAAAGGGCAGGGCTAGGAGGGGGATGCTGGCAGCCAGAGCCGGGCCCTCCGTCACAACCATCGCCTGCTGCTCTCCCCACCGACAACTATCTCCTCCCCCTCCCGCCCCCCACACACAGACCCTCGCTCCCTCCCAGGGCTTCGCTGGCCCAGAGGTGCAGAAGCGCCCGGCCCGCCCCCTGCAGGGGTAGGTCCAACCAGTAGACTCGGGAACACAGCAGCCTGACCAGCGCCTCCATGAGCACAGGACGCAGCTGTCCGGGCGGCTTATGTAACTCACCCCTTACATAAGGGGAGTGTCTCCACCAAAGCCCAGCCCGAGGCCACCTGTCGGTCCGCTGCAGTCAGAGCAAACAGGCTTCCTTGGGCCGGAGGCTAAGGGCTGAAATAAACCCCTTGGCTGCCAGGCCGAGGGCTTCCTGCCCCGGGGACCTCGCCTCAGGACGGCGGCTTAACACCAGCGCGGCTGTGCCCTCAGCGCAGCCGGGGACCTCTGGGACCTCGTGACGACGCAGAGGAGTCACAGCCCATCGGCAGGGACAGCGGCCTCCTAGTCGATGCCTCCCCGTCTCTTCCCCTCTGGGTCCCAAAGCTGCCGCGGTGAAGCCCCTTTTGGGCACATCTCCCTGGAAGGAATAGCATCTCTGTGTCCCTGTTGGGTGTCCGCACGGCCCCACATTCCCACCACGGCCCCGTTTCATGCCTGCCGCCCGCCACACGTCCATCACCTTGACGCGTCCTCAGGTGCCTGCCTCTCTGAGGCGTCTCTCCACCCGACCCAGGCACCAGCCAGGGATGAAAAGTCCGTTTAATCTCAACTGCCAACTCGGATTTGATTGGTGATGGCTGGCGGGTGCCGGGTGGAAAGATTCCGAGGGCCAGGCAGGACTCAGGATCGGCTAGTGCTGTCTTCCATGGGTGTGGGTGGGACAGGCTGACTGTACCTGCCTGATATCCCCGAGGCCCGTTCAGAATAACAGGATGCAGAGCCAGGAGGGTGACGCTTGGCCTCCTTGTAACCCGGCCCCGAGATCTTAACCAAGGGAACAGTGTCCCAGAGGAGGGCAGTGACTCCCCCAGGCACGCAGGTGCTCCCACTTCCCAGGCAGAGTTCATCGGTTCAGTTCAATAAACTGAGACCGGGGGTGGTAGGCACTTTGGAGAACGGAGACTGTGGTGAGTTCGGTGCAATGGAGAGGAGAGGTCACTGCAGGGAGTGGGGCGAGAAAGTTAGGAAGAAAGGCTGTCCTCCATGGGTCTGTGCAAGCAGCAGGCACACGGCAAAGGCCCGTTGAATGAATGAATGAATGAATGAATGAAACGTAGAGTAATACTATTGGTTGGCTCTCGGCCGTCTTGGGGACTCCAATAGCCAGTGTCACCACACCCTGGAAACAGCTTTCATTCTGACCCAGGCACAGCCTCTCGGCTCTACTTGCAAACTACATACTGACCACGTGACACCCTCTCCTCTGCTCCGCCCTGGGACCAGTCCACCACCTCTTACCTCGCCTGGATTGCTTGTCTCCTAACTGGGCTCCTGAGTCTGCCCACAGCAGCCTGTGCTCTTTTTTAAAAGAGAAGCTGGCTCAGCACAGCCCCTGATCCCCCTCCCCCATCGGCTCCCATCTCACTCAGAGCGGAAGTCCTCCAGGGGCCACAAGATCCGCTTCTTCTCCTACCTGCTCCCCTGGACCACCCGCCCCAGCCCCACTGCTCTCCTCGCTGTTCCTCAAACACCAGGCATGCGGCGACCTCAGGGCCTTTGCATCTGCTGTTCCCTCTTCCTGGAATTCTCTTCCCCTCCATCAGTTGGTAAACCACAGGCCATCTGTTTGGGTCAGTAAAGTTTTATTGAGACACAGCTATGTCCTATCCACTGAGGCAGAACGGAGGCGTTATGAGACAGCAGAGGGCGCACAAAGCCTGAAGTATTTACCTTTTTACTGAAAAGTTTTGCCACCCCTGGCGCTGGTCAATGGCAGGGCTCACCCCTTCCTTCACCCCCGTTATGTCTTTACCCACCTGTCTTCCTCTGCGTCCTCCTCACCCTCCATCCCATCCTCCTGCTTTATTCTTCTCCGCACTCGCCCCCATGAAGCACTCAGGACGTTCACGCGCTCACCTCCCTGTTGTCTGTCTGTCCGCTCCCACCAGAGGGCACTCCCACCAAGAGCGAGGTCTTGCATTCTAGCTCACGCTGTGTCCCAGCGTCTCAGACCCAACCTCAGAAATAACTTCCCAATGAAGGAATGTTTCCCACACTCCCGGGCATTGGCCTGGCCCAAACCCCTGGCCTCTGCCTCAGTTTCCCTTGTCACTGAGCTGGGGCCCTGGGAGATTTCTCACCGGGTCTCACCCCTGCAGGCTGAGTCCCTCATGAATGGACACAGTCCCCAGAAACGCCCAGCCTGGGTTCAGGTAAGCCCCACACCACTTCCATTTCATGACATTATCCTCATATTTTAAAAAAAATTAGACATTTTAAAGCAGACGGGGGCGCAGAAATG